TATGACGGTGCTGGGCACGCCTCCGCCGGTCGCCACCCCCGCGTCTGCTCGAGACAATCCCGGCCAGCCCGACGACGAGCAGGAGCACCAGCCCCGGCTTTCCCCTCGACCTGGTGCCGCCGCCGCCGGTGCGGCGCAGGAGCAGGAGCTTCAGCCCGGCGAGGCGGCCGCAGAGCAACTCGCCCGAGCTCGAGGGCTCGGGCGAGGCCAACATCCACCCCCTCTTCCGCTCCGACTCGCCGGTGCCGCCGCCCAACGTCACGCCCGGCACCGTCGTCGTCGCGTCGCCCAATGCGGGCCAGGTCATCTCCGACCGGAAGAGCGTCCGCCGGATGCGAAGCAGCAGCCTCGCGAACGGCCAGTCGCCACTCAGCCACCAGAGCAGCTTTGAGTTCCTGCCCTCGTCGTCAGTCAATGAGCAGGATGAGGTCGAGGAGCAGAGCGAAATCGAGTCGCCCAGCGAGCGCAAGATGACGCCGCCCATCCCCGAGTGGATCTTGACCGCTGGATCCAGGTCAAGCCTCACCGGGTACCAGAGCCGCAAGCTCAGGATCGATGCCGACCCCGGTTGCTGAGCGAGACACAGCAGCGGCGGAGGCCTGCGATGGCTGGTTTCACCAGGCAGAAGAGTTCCCGAGCCATTCGTTGGACGAAGGCTCATCGTCATGATGCATGTTCATTTTCTTTGTCAGGAAGGGAAGGCAGGGAAAGATGGCCTGAGGAACGGGCACTACTTAAAGAGAGATACCATTTGTTATTTATGATTCAGCGAGGCGTTGAAAGAGGCGGGTCGAAATGGCGAGGTTAGAGAGGAAAGGAAAATCATGAGGTAGACGCTGGAAGCCTGCAAAACCTCGGAGAGATCAAGTCGGAGAGGATCAAGAAGAAATCAATGATATGACACAGGTCCTAGCATTTGAAATCATTGTGATGTTGTATACTTGTGTGTGCAGTGATGGTGTCGGGGAAAGCTTCACGTGCACCGCCACACCACACCAGGCCTCCTCCCTCGCACCGTTTAGGCAACCGGTGAGAAGGAAAGCCCCCAAACCCCACCTTCCCGCTCGAGGCCCCGCTGGCTCCTTCTGCACCAGACCAGTCGAGGGACCTCCAGTCCAGGTTGCCCTTCACTTCGTCATCTTCCCTCACCCACCCACCTACCCGCATAAACAAACTTCTTCGCGCCTTGCCGGGAACAACCCCAACAACACCACCCTATATCCTGCATTGCAGACTGCTGGCCCTTCTTCACCGTCCCAGCGTCACCTCGAGCCGACTCACCTCCCATTCTCCCACCGACCTCTGTAGCTCCGAGCTGCACCCTGCCCCCCTCGCCAAGATGAAGGTCACCTTTAAGGTATGGGAGCTATCCTCATCCCCGCCACCCGCCCAAGCTCTTCCTCTGTCGACGCCATGTCGACGCCGTTTGCCCTGCTATGGAAAAGAAACGAACGCTAACCCAACGTGCAGGACCTCAAGCAGAACAAGTTCACGCTTGAAGTCGAACCCACCGACCTCGTACGTCCTCTGCCCCCGCACACCGATCAAAATCAGAGCCGAAGCTTGACCCCTCTCTGTTGACCCGACCAAAGCTAACCCCTGCCTAGATCTCTACTGTGAAGCAAAGAATCTCAGAAGAGAAGGGATGGGATGCCAAGGAGCAGAAGCTTATCTACTCTGGTATGCGACCGCGGCTCGGCTCTCACGACGTGCTGCAACCTCCTCGCTGTGCAACTTTTTGCGCTGACCTAATCCAGGCAAGATCCTAAAGGACGAGGAGACTGTTGAGTCGTACAAGATCGAGGAGAAGGGATTCGTCGTCTGCATGATCCAGAAGGTTGGCATCAATGCTTTTTTCCACCCACGAAACTCTTGTCGGCTAACCATTGCGCAGCCCAAAGCCAAGCCTGCCGCACCTGCTGCCTCCTCATCCGCTGTGCCCTCGACCCCGGCGCAGCCTGTTGCCGCAACCCCAGCTGTCCCTGCCGCCCCTCAGGCTTCGACCCAGGCCGCCGTGCCATCGACCCCGACCCCCGCCGCTAGGGCTGGCGCTGGTGGCGATGGCGCGCCCACTGACCCTTCGATGGCCATGGGTGCTCAGCGTGCCGAGGTTGTCGCTAACATGGAGGCCATGGGCTTTGAGCGCTCCCAGATCGACGCTGCCTTGCGCGCTGCGTTTTACAACCCCGACCGTGCTGTTGAATACCTACTGACGGTAAGTGTCGGCTGGAGAGCTTGAGGGATCAGGCACTGACTCTGCAAAACAGGGCATCCCCGACGACGCTCAGCGTGAGCAGGAGCAGCGCCAGGCGCCGTCCGCTCCCGCCGCCGCTCCCGCCCAGCCTGCCGGTGGCGACAATGCAGGCGATGACGGCAACGTGAACCTCTTTGATCTTGCGGCTCAGCAGCGGGGTGGCAGCGGACGTGGCAGCGGTGGCCCTGGTGCTGGTGCCGCTGCTGCTGCAGGTGCCGGAGCTGGTGCTGCTGCTGGCATTGGCGCTGCCGCCGCTGCTCAAGGTGGAGGCTTCGGCAATCTGGACTTCCTGCGGAACAACGCGCAATTCCAGCAGCTCCGCCAGGTCGTTCAGCAGCAACCCCAGATGCTTGAGCCCATTCTCCAACAACTCGGTGCCGGCAACCCTCAGCTCGCGCAATTGATCGCTAACAACCCTGACCAATTCCTGAGTCTGCTCGGCGAGGATGTCGATGATGATGTGCCCCTGCCCCCCGGCGCCCAGGCGATTAGTGTCACAGAGGAGGAGCGGGATGCCATCGAGCGCGTATGTCTTCCCTTCTACGTTTTACTTTCAAGATGACCGACTGACTCGTCTCCAGCTTTGTCGTCTTGGCTTTGACCGCGACCAGGCCATTCAGGCTTACTTTGCCTGCGACAAGAACGAGGAGCTCGCGGCGAACTTTCTGTTCGACCAGCCCGAGGACGATGATGACAGACCACAGGGCAACTAAGCAAATGAAAATGTTGCCTTTTTTTTTCAACGAATGAATCATGATGGGAGGATGTCGTGACGGGGGAGCAAAAAAATCCTCCGGCGGTCGTAGCTATAGGATACCTGGAGGAAAGGCTTTCAGCCATGTCAGCCCGGTTCCTCACGGGGACGCTGTATATGCGGATGAGGAGGCTTTCGAGGCTTCAGCATGTTGGCCACAGAGGCGTTGAAGTCGCCTTACGAGACATGAGAATACAGAGGATTTCAGTTCAACGACGAGAGCGCCCCGACCATTGATCGCCCCAGGCGATGAACTAGTTCCCCAACGAGGGCCAAAATCAATCTCGTAACAGCACAGGTTTGGCCCGTCAGCCAGCCAGTATTGCCATTTTGACGTTCGCATGAAGCCAACCACGAGTGTGTGAACGAAGCTTCCCATTGCTTGACACCAAGTGTCTTTCGAGCCGTTGCTTCTAACGCCTTGCTACCGTCACTTCAGCTATGGGCCGGTTTATATTCCCCAACGAGACCCCAATAACCGAAGGAAGGGGTATCATTATCGATCCATGTTGTTGCCCATCCCCATCCTGTCCCAGAACCGCATGATTCATCAAACGCACCCGAACCAAACGCCCATTCATCTTACGAGCCCCGATTACGCCAGACTTTCCTCGACAATCTCGCCGTACATGGCGAGATCGTCCTTCTTCCTCTTCTTCTTGCCCTTCTTCTTCTTGCGAATCTCCTCCTCCTCGGCGGCCAAATCGGCGGCGCCCTCCTCCTCGCCATCGGCCCAGAGCTTCCTGCGCTTCTCCTCCATGGCCGCCTTCTTCTCGTCCTCCTTGGCCTTTTGCGCGGCGTCAAACTCGGCCTTGGCCCTGCGCTGCTCGGCCATGATGGTCTCGGTGGGGACAAACTCCTCCTTGCGCTTGGTCCACTGCTTGTACTCTTGCAGGTCGATCTTGACCGTCTTCTCGCCGACGAGCACGGCGTGAATGCGCGTCGGGTTGAGGCGCTCCTCGCGGTTGAACTTCATCTTGACGTGGCGGCGCGTGCGGCCGGGGAACATGGCCGAGATCATCTGAAAATCGGTGCCGAACATGCGGAGGCCGCGGTACAGGAGCTCCGTGTCCTCCTCGTTCCAGATGTTGGGGCCGCGAATCTTGGACGTCTTGGGCAGGAAGCTGTTGCTCGTGACGTGGTGGCTAAAGTCGTGCTCCTCTTGCTCCTCGCGCGTGATGCCCTCGGCCAGGTCGCGCTGCTCGGCGCGCGCGTGGGCGTCGACCTGGAGCGAGCGCTGGTCGAGCACAATCTGGCCGTCCACCTCGATGAACTGGGGGCCCAGCGAGTCGAGCTGCGACTGCGCTGGCGCCATCGGCACCGGTGCCGGCGTCGTGTCCTCCTTGTCGATGCCCGGCAGCGGCGTGCCCGACGGTTCAGACGGGTCCACGCTGACGCCCCGGCCGCTCTTGCTGAGCGCCCGCTGTCTCCTGGCCGCCGCAATCTTGGCCTGCTTTTCGCGCTCACGCTGCAGGATCTCGTCGTAGCGTTTGAACTTTTTGCCGATGCGCAGGTCCACCGTGAGGTCCTTCAGAGTGAGCACGCTCGATCCACGGTTTGCTGGTCTGCGTCGTCCGGCGTCGCCGATCGCTCTCGCCGCTTCCTGGGTGCGGGGGTCTCTGCTCCAGTGGCGTCCCCTTCGGCCCCCTCCGCCGACGGCTGCTTCCTCTTCCCGAGGTTGCCGTGCCGCGGCGTCACCCATCCTGCGTCGCGCCCATCTTTCTTGTTGGGCGTCGCCTTTTTTCGGACCTGCGGCTTCGCCATCTGGGCTCGTCTCAGATTCCGCGGCCTCGCCGTTTTCGTCCTCCGTCGAAACAGCTGCGCGCTTGCCGGCTACCCTCTTGGCGGGTGTCTGCTTCTTGGCGCTGCCTGTCGCAGATGTTGGTTCTGTCGAAGATTGATCATCTCCTTCTGGTGGCGCAATCTCTATGGTCGGGATGGGTTGGGAGGCATCTGCCGCGGTCGCACCCGCGCTTCCGGACTGACGCGTCGCGGCTGAGGGTGTCGAGGAGGAAACTTTCACAGCAGTGGCGGTGGCCTGCGAGGACTTGATCGAAGCCAAGGAACTGCTGTTATCTATTGGTATTGGTGTTGTACCGGTAGGTGTCGGGTCGGCTGTACTGTCCCCAGTTTTCGGGCTTGCAGACAAGGGCGCATTTTCTGACTGCCCATGCTGTAGCAGAGGTTCTCGAGTTGTCGAGGGCGTAGCGCTCTGCGAGGCGTCTTGTTCTGTGGTGGGTGCCGGTGTGTGGGAGGTCGCAGGAGCGGGAGGTGTGTCGGTGAGGGGCCTGGCGGGTTGCGATGCGCCGGGAACGCGGGGCCTGGCTGTGGGCTTGAAGCCCTTGCCCGTCTTCTTCTTCATCATCGAACTCATGGTGGCGGTTGGCGATCACAAAGCTACGACGGTGATAGATGTAAGATGGTGGTGGGGAGTGGCGGGTCTTGTCGTCGCTGCTACATGGCAGATCTAGATGTGAAGCCGTGTCAAGTGTATGCTGGTGAAGAATCAAGCGCGCAATCAGAGTTCAAAGAGGCTGCATGAAAGGGGGGAGGTGGAAAAGATTGTTGAAGGGAGCCAGCCGATCTGGAATGCTTTGGAGGCGGACAAAAAAGATTTGGCTTCGGAAGGAGCAGCGATGTAGAAACAGGAGCAGAAGCAATCAGTGGGGGGGGGGACAACCTAGACCAGCCAGGCTGCGCCAGAGAACGAAAAAAAAGACCGAAGCTTAGCCGCCTGAACGCACCTGTGCGGGGTCCGACTACCGCACGTGCATCGATAAGATGACGAGGCTCGAAAGGGCTAGCGCCACGCTAACCCCCTTTCAGAAGGGGACCGCGCTTCCTCTTGCTTCGAGTGAAGGCGTCGAACCTCGAAAATTCAACTCCTCTTGCCAGCGAGGCAACGTTCCCCCCTCAGCCTTTCCACGACCGAGGCCAGCCTGCTCCCATCACGACACTCTTCGGGGCCTCCAAATCTCTTCGGTACCCTCCGGATAGACGTCGCGCTCGCTCTCTTGTCGATTCCTTGAGCCCCTTGGAGTCGCGTCCCAGCCTCTTTCTCACCCTTCCATGATTCGCCGCCCCTCGCGACTTCGCCCATGCCTGTAGCCATCAAGCCTGCCTCGCCCCGGCCGTCATCATTGACCAAGATGGAAGATCGAAAGCGACCAGCCATCAGCGGCGCTGATGACATTGCGCCTCCCAGCAAGCGTCATCAAAGCGTCAATGGCAACAAGTCGAAAGGCGATACCGGCGAGCAGTCAGAAGAACATTGGATCGAGGTAAGTTGTCACCGGACCGCTCCTGCCCTCTTGTCAACTATTTCCCTGGGACGAGCCATGTGCCTGCGATGCTTTGTCGCAGACTTGACTTGCCCTCTTTCCCCCCACCCCCTTTGGAACTACGCGATGGCACGCGACCACGAGCTCAAAGTCTTTTCGGGACCCACCTGTCAGCAGCAGCCTTTGTGGCCTGTTCAACAGACTCACCGCTTCGTGACCCTTCATCTCATCATCGACTCCCGACGGAAACTCGCTGCAAAGACGAAACGCTAATTTGGGCCGTAGAATTACCAAAAGGGAGCCATCTGGCGAGCCTTCCAGGAATCCAAGCGCGATAAGGCTGAGCTAGAAGGTCGCGTTGATAAGCTGCAAACTCATGTAGCCCATCGCGACGACCAGATAAGATTGATTGAAATATGGTGGGAACAGGTCAGTGTTGCGCTCATCTGCGATATCCTGTCATCGGCGCTGACCGTCCCCTTCAGGTGCTACAAGAAATGGAACTGCTCGTCAACCCGGCACTGCCAGCGCCATCAGGACCAACAGGTTCGTCGTGCCGAACGCCCACTCCCCGATGACCCTGTCTAACTTGACCGTAGAACCACCTTACATTACAGGTACTACTTTTAAAGACAGCACGACTTTTCAGGAACATCTTAACGACAAAACCAAGACGCTGCGCGAGAGGGCTGAGGCTGTTATTAACCGGATTGCGACGTCGCGTGGACAAATCACGCCGAATATTGCCGATTTGGAGAATAGAGTGAATGCCCTGCTCGCCCAGCAAAAAGATTATCTTATTCAGCTCGATCGCTCTCAGCATGAGAACCAGCAGCTTTCGGAGGACCTTAACAAGAAGACTCTTGAATGGTTCAAAGCTGAGCGACGGGAAAAGAGGTTGAAGAGCGCACAAGTGCAAAAGCTGGAGAAGCAGTTTCTCGCCAACGCAACACAAGGGGGCACGGCAGGCGAGAACGGTGCCGAAGCTGCTGCCCTGAACGGGAACGCTGCTGAGACCTTGCTGAAGCTGGAAGAAGCATCGGCGGTCCTCGTCAAACAAAAGGAGCAATTAGAGACTGCGCAGACAGACCTCGCAGCCTTGCAGGAGGAGAACTCGACACTGAAAACGCAACGTGAAGGCGTGTCGGATGAGGATTACATTCGAACCGACGTCTTCAAGGCCTTCAAAGCGCAAAACGAGGACTTGATCAAGCGGATCAATCACCTAGAAGCGACCAACAAGCAACTGCGAGAAGAATCTGAAAGGTTGCAATTCGAACGACAGGCCTTCCGAAGCAAACTGAACGACGAAGCGCAAACACACATTGCCGACCTTGAGCGCCAGGTCGAGGAGCGCGAAGGGGATGTCACACGTCTCAGAGCCGCAAGGGACGAGTGGTTCGCAAAGGCTAGCATGCTGGAGGCGAGCCAGAAGGAGGAGAAGACAGCGCTGCAACACATTCAGGAGCTGGCAGGCGCAAAGGACGATCGCATTACAGCCCTTGAACTCGAGCTGCAGCGGGTCAAACCCGACGAGGACCGACCTATGGCCGATGCCGACCCAGCCATCGACAGCCTTCCTGTAGAGGAACTCTTGACGAAGTACCGGAAACTCCAGGCTGATCTCGAGTCGATCAACAAAGAATTGCCAGCCCTTCAACAGGCGTACAAGCGATCCATGACGCTGGCGCAAAAGAAGGTCATGGACTTTTCGGCCCTAGAGGATCGGGTTGCTGCGGTGCTAGCCGAGAAGCAAAAGGTTGACTCCAAGTATTTCGCTGTTCGCAAAGACGCCGATTTTCGGGACCGTGAACTGCTTGCGCTGCGAAACCAAAACAGAAAGACCTCGGAAATCGTCACACAGCTCAAGGAAGTGGAGGCTCAGCATAGAGTGTTGATCAGCAACTTGGAGAAGCAGCTATCGGATCTTCGGATGGCAAATGCGAACTTGGCAGCTGAACACAAGAAGATGGAGGCGAACAGTGTAGAGTCGATCAGGAGAGCCGATGCGTACAAGGCCCAAGTCAACGAACTGGCGAACCAAATCAAGGCGAAAGACGCAGCCACTGCGAGCACAAGAGAGCGCGCCACGTCTCAGGAGTCAGAGCTCGAACGACTCAAAGCGAGGGTCGAGTTCATCAAGAAGGAGAAGGAGGACTGGAAGCGCAAGGATTGAGCAACTCTTCCGAAGAAGAGGAGATGCTACGAGTATGTTTTCACCAAGCCCCCTTTTCTCCATCTTCGAATATGCTAACCCAGCCGCCAGTCGTATGCGCTTTGCTCAGTTTGCCGGAACAACTTCAAAGATACTGTCCTGAAGACGTGCGGTCACCTGTTCTGTATGTCCTGCATCGACGATCGCATCAGCAACCGCATGCGCAAGTGCCCAACCTGTGCCACATCCTTTGATCGCAAGGATTCGTTGTCTGTTCACCACTAGAAACGTACGAGGGACGAGACTCGCGAAAGCTCGTTGGCTTTTTTTCTGTTTGTTTGATTGGATCCTGCATTAAACGAAGGGAAACGGGGGCAGGGGGGGCAGCTTATTCGCCAAACCAACTAAGGGCGTTTGGGTGTTCTGGGGTTTGGTGTCTTACGGATGATACCTTTTCTGGTCGCGCAAGAGCAAGGCCACTCACTCCACTACCGCGATTGGAAAGGGCTGGCTGTGTATTTCTACCTGTATCATATGTATCCGCGGATGTGCTCTCGAGGCGGCCTACGCATAGGTCCGGCGAGAGAGCGGATGCATTGTGGCAGCGTCGCTGTTAGCAAGACGCGCATCGTTGTAGGAACATTGTTCCGACTAGACGTAGAATCGAGCAATACCAACCAGTGTTGCCATATGCGAAAGCTATCTAGGATGGTTATGCCAGTTGACCAGTCTTCACGACGTGGGAAGCAAGCAGCTTTATCTCCTATTTGTGGACCCGAAGCCAGTGCTCTCATGTCTCGCCGATGAGCTGGACCCTGAAGAAGTCCTCGAGGGGCCAGCGCCCCAACCGTAACCGTCGTTGGTGCCGTAGCCTCCGCCGCCAAAGCCAGTCCTCCTGTCGTTGCGGTTGTTGTTGTTGTTGTTCCTGCCGCCTGCCAGGTACCCAGCCGCTGCACCACCAGCCAGTCCACTCCAGAAGCCTGGCCGCCAACCCTGGCCTTGCTGATTGCTCGACGAGGGCTTCGCGCCAGGGTACGGTGG